TTTCTTTCTTTCTTTCTTTCTTTCTTTCTTTCTTTCTTTCTTTCTTTCTTTCTTTCTTTCTTTCTTTCTTTCTTTTTTTCAAGACAGACTTTCTCTGTGTAACCCTAGTTGTCCTGAACTTACTTTATAGATCAGGCTGGCCTTGAACTCACAGAGATCCACCAGCCTCTGTCTCCCACAGTGCTGAGATTACAGGCATGTGCCACTATGCCCGGCTCAGTATTCTCCTTCTTATGCCTCTGGCTGACAGTTGTTAGAGTGCATACACAACTTTCCTTTGAATCTCTAATCCTGTTTCCCAAACACTATTTCTGCTTTAGGTTCTGGCAGTTTGGAAGATTAAGTTAGGAACTTCCACTTGTTAGGCAAGTGCTTTACCAGTCAGCCACATACCTAGCCCTTAAATCCCGAATTCATGAATAATTAATGAACAAGTGTAAGAATGCTCTTAATGTAAAGTTTTCCCATACTATGTATGGATTCTGCCACCTAATACTTATAAATGTTTATAATTAAAACACTGATTGTGTTTAATTCTGACCATTCTAGAAGTAGCAAAGTATAAAAACAAGCACAAAAAACATCTTGACCAAGAAAATAGTTAAGATGTAGATACAGAATGAGGATTAATATGATATGCTATACATGACATAAACAAATTGGTGATAAGGGGTTGCTTACTGACAACCCAAGTATTTTACCCATTCCCTTCTTGACATAGTCAAACTACAGTGATAATTAGATGGCCGTCTGTAGGAAGAAGGTCAGATTTGGGGACTAATTTTAGCAATATTTTATATTTAGATTTTTTATGAAATATGTACTTCAAACTCAAAATTTAGTATATAATAGACATATAGCTCTAACACAGCAATAAGACAAAACTTATTTGGACATTAACAGATTTATGCAATTTTAATGTAATACAACAAAGACTGGGTATCAACAAAAAAGAGCAATGATTGGCTTCTGCAGGACAATCTCAAGGGCATTACTTGCTTTGGTGAGTTTACCATGATACACACACACCATGGCCTTCAGTCCTAGAAGTATACAACCTGATCTTGCCCATGTCCTAGATTCATCCAAATTCTGGAGGTGAAATCTGTCATTACATCATAATACTGAAAGATATAAAAAGAAGGATATTCATTTACAATGAGAAATGCAATTATACAGGTCAAATACACATGTTCAGAAGACTTCAAATTCCCTTCTAAACAGATTATGGGAGGAACAGATCATAAGATACTGATAATTTGTGAATGCTTTGTACTTAATACATTTGAATGCAAAAAAGGCTTTTGTATCAACTAGATGTTTCTGCTACCCTAAGCACAATTTTCTCCCAGAAAATGGCTGTAATGCATACTCCAGTGGCTCTTGCTTTTCTATGTATCATGGATCACCTGAGCCCAGTTCACTGCCTTGGCTAATTCTTACATTGTTTAGAAAATTCATATTTAAACAAGGTAGATAAAAATTCTCTTGCCACCATTCTTCAGTTTTTACCCTTCTCTAGAGAAAAACATCAGTATCAACCACTTCTTTACCACTGTCTAAGTCTTTAAACATATATATATATATATATATAGTAGTCATAATAAAATATCTTATATTTGAGGTTTAAAGTAGAGATTAGATCATCCATTCACATACTTCTTTACCAATTTTTTTTTTTACTCACTTAGGTTCTAGATATTTTTCTTTCTTTCTGTGATGCTATCTCATTATCACTGTACAATTCAGGCTAGTCTCAAACTCATAATTTCCCTCCTGCCTCTGTCTCCCAAGGGTAGGAATTATGATGTGTACCACAATGCCCAGTTTCCTTTAATGATATTTCTTTATAAATACAGGCTCTCCTCACTATTTCAGTTGTCTCATAATGCTCTATTACATGACAGTATTATATTTTAAATTATTCTTCTATGAAATGGCATTGAGTGTGATTGCAACTTTTACTTATGAAAAACAATTTAGTCAATTTATTCGTATATAAGAGCATTTTCATAAACTCTACAAAGACACACAGGTCCAAATACATACATGTAAAAATGTTGATACTTTTACAATACTTCAAATATTTATATTTTCATTGTATATAATTCACATATTTTATATTTAGCACTATCATTTGTAAAACTGAGGATTATGGAGAATTAATCTTTTCATGTGTATATAAGGTATGTGTGTGTGCACATGTGTGAGGGTACATACCCACAATGTACATGTGAGCATCAGAAGATAATCTCTGAGAATGCTGGTTCTCATCTTCCACCTTGTCTGACACAGGGTCTCTTTGTTGTTTACAGCTGCAGTTGCCAGGCTAGCTAGCCCAAAAGCTTCCAAGAATTCTCCCATTTCACCTCCCATCTTGCTGTAGGAGTACTGGGATTATAGCTGTGTGGTTCCACATTTAATTTTACCTGGTTTATGGGGATCCAAACTCAGGGCATGCGTCACACTCATGCAGTAAGCACATTACCCCCTAAGCCATTTCTCAAGACTCTTGACTACTACAAATGGAATGAATAAATTGTGATTTTGTAAAATTGAGGTTTACCTTTCCATCTCTGCTTACCAAATTCTGGGATCATGGCTATATACTACCATGCCCGGCTCACTTAATGAGCATTATTCATAAAAATGAATTAATATTGAACAATCTTTCATTAGTCTCATAAATATTACTTTATATGACAATGTTAATTTGTTTAACCATTCCATTGGATGCCATGGAGTATGATAAAGTTAGTAAAGATTAGGAAATGATCTACAGTAGTTGATTTATGACAGAATGTGGTGGCTCCTGTTTGTATGTTCAGTTTTTATCTCTTAACTCTAAAGAAGTCACAAAGTCATTCATTGTGGCTGACCACACACATTCTGTCTTTGATGATCTGCTTATTTTTTGACCACTATTTAAAATCATGTTTTTGTACTAAAAGGCAAGAGTGTTTGATATTTAGTAGAAATAATTAATGGTATATCCATTATACATGATTGTATGTGAATTAATATAACCAGAGTGTAAATTAACTGTCTCCATGTTTTTTTATGATTTCTTTAATACAAGTCTGAAAGTTTTATAAAAACTATTTTAAGAAAGCTATCGTAATCAGGGCAAAATATAAAATATATAAAGGCAATATTAGAAACTGAGTGTGGTAGTGCATCCAGGCCTATAAAGAGACAGAATTATTAGGAGCTCAAAGCAAGCCTGGGCTAAATGAGACTCTATGTCTTAAAAACACAAAAGAAAGAAAAAGTTTAATAATTTTTTCCAATAAGCCCCATTCACAATCTCTGCAGGTTGACAGATGTAGTCTAGAGTACCTGTTCCACATTTTTTATTTTTTTTAATTTATTATAATTTATTCACTTTGTATCCAAGCTGTAGCCTCCTTTCTCATATCCTCCCAACGCCACCCTCCCTCCTTCCCTCTTCTCTTCCCATGCCCCTTCCCCAGTCCACTGATAAGGGAGGTCCTCCTCCCCTTACATCAGACTCTAGCCAATCAGGTCTCATCAAGCCTGGCGACATCTTCCTCTGTGGCCTGGCAAGGCTTCCGCTCTCCCAGGGGGAGGTGATCAAAAAGCTAGCCACTGAGCTCATGTCAGAGACAGCCCCTGTTACCATTACTAGGGAACCCACTTGGGGACTGGGCTGCCAGGGCTACATCTGTGCAGGGGTTCTAGGTTATCTCCATGAATGGTCCTTGGTTGGAGTATCAGTCTCAGAAAAGACCCTGGGCCCAGATTTTTTATTCTATTGCTCTCTTTGTAGAGCTCCAGCCTCCTCCAGATGTTTCTACTTCCCCATTCTTTCATAAAATTCCCTGCACTCTGCCCAAGATTCATAGCACTCTGTTTGGCTATGAGTCTCAGCATCTGTTTTAATTACCTGCTTAGTGGAGTCTTTCAGAGGCCCTCTGTGGGTAAGTCCTGTCTTGGTCCTTGTGTTCACCCTCTACTGATGTCTATCCCATTTGCCTTTTTGAATGAGGATTGATCATCTTACCCAGGATCCTCCTTCTTGCTTAGCTTCTTTAGGTGTACAGAGTTTAGTATGATTATCCTATATTACATGTCTAATATCCTCTTAGAAGTGAGTATATACCATGCATGTCTTTCTGCTTCTGGGATACCTCACTCAGAATAATCTTTTCTAGTTCCCACCATTTGCCTGCAAATTTCATTATTTCCTTGTTTTTGATTGCTGAGTAGTCCATTGTGTAACTATACCACAATTTTTGTATCCATTCCTCAGTTGAGGGACATCTGGGTTGTTTCCAGATTCTGGCTATTACGAATAAAGTTGCTATGAACATGGTTGAGCAAATGTCCTTCTTGTATACTTGAGCATCTTTTGGATATATGCTTAGGAGTGGTATAGCTGGATCTTGAGGATCCAGAGCAACAGTAATATAAACTGCATGGTACTAGCATAGAAACAGGCTGGTGGATCAATGGAATCAAATAGAAGACACAGAAATGAACCCACACACTATGGACACCTGATTTTATGACAATGAAGCAAAAATCATACCATGGAAAAAAAGATAGCATCTTCAACAAATGGTGCTGGTCTAACTGGATATCTATATGTAGAAAATGCAAATAGATCCATACTTATCACCCTGTACAAAACTAAAGTCCAAGTGGATCAAAGACCTCAACATAAAACCAGACACACTAAACCTCGTAGAAGAAAAAATGGGGAAGAGCCTTGAACTCATTGGCACATTGGCACAGGAGACAACTTCCTGAACAGAACACCAACAACACAGGCTCTAAGATATAATATATCTTAATATATATATATATATATATATATATGTGTGTGTGTGTGTGTGTGTAGATATATATATCATATAACATATAATATGTCTATAATATATAACAATCAATAAATGGGACCTCATGAAACTTAAAAGCTTCTGTAAACAAAAAACACTGTCATCAGAACAAAAAAACAGCCTACAGCTTTCGAAAGGATCTTCACCAATCCTATATCTGACAGAAGGCTAACATACAGACTATATAAAGAACTCAAGAAGTTAAACACCAACAAACCAAGTAATCCAACTTAAAAAATGTGGTACAGAGCTAAACAGAGAATTCTCAATAGAGGAATATGGAATGGCAGAGAAACGCTTAAAGAAATGCTCAGCATCCTTTGTCATCCGGGAAATGCAAATCAAAATGACCCTGAGATTTCACCTTACACCCATCAGATTGGCTAAGTTCAAAAACTCAAGTGACAACACATGCTGGAGAATATGTGGAGAAAGGAGAACCCTCCTCCATTGCTGGTGGGAATGTAAACTTGTACAACCACTTTGGAAATCAATCTGTTGCATTCTCAGACAATTAGGAATAGTGTACCACATTTCTATTGCCATCATAAACACATATTGACAAATATATATAGTTCTTCATTTATTATTAAAAATGAGTTTACATATTATACAATGTTTTCATTAGTATCTCATATTTAGTAAGCATTATAGATTCAATATGATCTTTTGAATATGTGTACAATAGTATACCAAAAGATTTTTACAGTATAACCAATAATTCTGTAAGTAAAGGATATTGAATATCTTTCCAATTGTTTTCATAAATATCCAAATATATTCTCAGCCTGCTAGATTTCAAAGCAAACCAAATTTCAAGATTCCCAAAGTATTTGCCAGAAAATGGATCCCAAACTCTGTTGATGCTCCACTCCCTTATATAAAATGACATCGTATTTCCATATAAATGACATCCATGCTTATATTCTCACATATAAATATCATAGATTACTTTTAATGCCTAAAACTATATGCATGATATGTAAATAGTGGTTATATTGTTTAAAACATCATATAAATTGAGAAAAATCTCCAAGCAAACCAATCACAGATTCACTACAGTCACAGCGACAAAGGAACCCTGTGGATCTAGGCTTGGGGCTAGTTGAATCCAGAGACACAGAACCATTAATGTAGGGCCAATTGTGGTCTCTTAAAATAGGTATAATAATCCATTCTCTACATGTTTTAGACAGATCTCAGATAGAGCTAGTAATTCATACTTTCAATTCATCAAATATAAAATAAACATGATATTGATT